CTTTCTCACCATCGGGGTTCCACAGCTCCCCACCTACCCATCCACCTGTGCAACTGCAGGCCAGGGCTGGGGATGAGGTTGAGGGCCAGTGTGTGAGCCACCAGTGCACCTCACAAAGGAGACCCTGTCCTGGGAGACCTGCTTAGGGTTCAGAGCCTGGGCTGGGATAGAGCTATGGGCAGATAGTGGGCAGCAAGTTCTGAATGAATTATCAAGGGATATTTTCAGTTTAAGGTTTAAAGAGTATCTCAAAGTGATAGGCTTAGGGAGTTCTCTGTTCTCAACCAGTCCAATAAATCTGGACTTTTTGAGAATTTGAGTTCTGTTTCCACATTTTTCTGCCTTTCTATCAGGATTCATCTATTGTTTCCCTTATAAAATGGTCAGTAGTGGTAGTCAGGAACCATCTAGTTCTTCTGGTGTCAGGGTTGATGAGTCCATGGTTCAGGGAGACTATTAGTCCTATAGACTACTTTCTTCCCTGGGTCTTTGGTTTCTTTCTTTCTCTTTTTTTCTAGAAGACCAGAGACCAATAAATGTATCTTATGTGAGTATACACTTTAAAAGTATTCTTTAAATGGATAAATTCTATTGTTGTTGTTGTGTGCCGTCGAGTCAGACCAGATTCATAGCAACCCCTCCTTGAGTTTCCAAGGAGGTATCAATACGGAAGTAGATTGCCTTACCTTCCTTCTGAGGAGTGGCTGGTGGGTTTGAACCGCCAGCCTTCTGGTTAGCAGTCAAGTGTCTTAGGGGAGCTCTGGTGGCATAATGCCTAAGGCATTTGACTGCTAACCAGAAGGCGGGCAGTTCAAACTCACCAGCCACTCCTTGGAAGAAAGACTGGGCAACCTACTTCCAGAGAGATACTGCCTTGGAAACCCAAGGAGGGATCACTATGAGTCAGAAAACAACTCGACGACAGTGAGAGAGGATAAATTTTATGGTAGGTGAATTACATCTCAATAAAGCTGTTTTAAAAAACACATAGATGGTGGGTGACGACTGAACATATTGTGCTCTTGTTGAACTTGTATTTCTGAAGAAAACTGCTCAAAGCTAATTTCAAGTGCTAAGTTTGAACTGAAGAAGACAGCAGTCCTCAGTTACATATACCAAAAATAGTTGTAAACCTAGGCATTATCATTGCTCTTAAATGGACTGTCCCACTAGCATCAATTGGACATTAACCACTTCATAAAACTGTTAAAATGTACATTGATTGCATCATTAATTGGAATGATCCTTATAAATTCAAAAATCCTACCTTTGATTTTACAGATGAAAAAACTAAGGCCCAGAAAGGGGTTAAAATTTTACTGTAAGTCACATAGCAAGTTACTAGCGAAGGTAGGATTAGAACCTGTTCCCTCTACTTCACCTCTCTCTGCCTACATATTTTTTTGCAAGGTTCCATCACTCTCAGGAGCTAAACTCTTCACCATCTAGGTCTTTAAGTCGGGCATCGGAGGGAGCTGGAAAGGGGTCTGGAGATAGTAGTTTCTGGAGAGGAAGTGAGGAAGATGGGGGCCAGGTTCCCAGCAGCCAGTGGAGGAGCCCCTGTTCCCGTAAAAGCAGGGAACTGGCTGGAGGCCATAAACTCAAGGGATGATGTCACACGTGGTCTGAGCCCTGTGGTTGGTTGTTCCTGTCACATATGCAGTGGGAGGGTGAGTATGTGAGAATAGTCCCCCCACTAACCCAGTTGTCTCCACCTCAGAATCAGTCTGTGTTTGTGTCCCAGAAATCAGCTCTATGAATCACTCAACCCCTAGACCTCTCACCTCACCCTGCTCTCAGGCAAGACAGAGAGTGAAGAAGACCTTGGGCCTCTGGCCACACCCAGATCTTTCTCACCATCGGGGTTCCACAGCTCCCCACCCACCCATCCACCCGTGTAACTGCAGGCCAGGGCTGGGGATGAGGTTGAGGGCCAGTGTGTGAGCCACCAGTGCACCTCACAAAGGAGACCCTGTCCTGGGAGACCTGCTTAGGGTTCAGAGTCTGGGCTGGGATAGAGCTATGGGCAGATAGTGGGCAGCAAGTTCTAAATGAGGTTTATTTCCTTCCCACTCCTTAGGGAGAAGAAACTGGTCGTGTTGATTAACACTGACGGCCAGGCACTCTTCTAAGACTTTACTTTAGCTCATGTATTAGCCCACCTGGAGTCCCTGGGTTGCACAAATGGGAACCAAATGACTGGTTGTTCAAATCCACCCAGAGGTGTTTAGAAGGAAAGCCTGGGAATCTACTTTTGAAGACTCACCCATGGACCCTATGGATCACAGTTCTGCTCTGACACACATGGGTCACCAGGAGTCAGAATCACCTCACAGCAACTGGTGTTTTTTTCTTTCCCCCTTTCAAATTCAACATTTTTCATGTGTACATTTCAATAATATCAATTATATCCATCGTGTTGGGCAACCATCACCAATATCCAACTGTTCTTTTTATTATTATTATTAGCTCATCTAATCCTCCTCACAAAAACTCTGTGAGGCCTACATTACTATCAATCTCACATCCAGATGAGGAAACTGAGGCAGAGAGAAGCCCAGGAACCTACTCAGGCCACACAGTGAGTTCACATAACAGAGCTGACCCAAGGCCAGGCAGCCTGGCTCCTGCCCCTAACATCTGAGCTGGAGGTCAGAAACAGGTAGGTTGCCCCTGCTGGCTGGTTCCTCAACATGAGTTCACCACCCTGAGCCCACCCATCTGCTTGGGCTGCCCACACCCAAGTAGTTGGGTTCACGGAAGAGCCCCTGACCATCACAGCTGGCTTCCTGAGGGCTCCTGAGGGCTGTCAGCAGGGCCGGATGAAGAGGTGGGTGCTGCTGGAGGGGGAGGAGAGCAGAGAGGACCTGCGACCACATTCAGGGGTGGGGCAGGAAGCAGCAGTGATGTGATGGCGACCTGGCTGGTGTACATACGCCTGCCTGGGGCTGACATCACCATTGGAGGAGCCTCCGGTGGGGAGAGAGGGCATTTGAGCAGAAGTTGCTCAACACTGGACTCCAGGTAAGGAGGAAGCAGAGGACCTGGGAGGCTGAGAGCCCCTGGGAAAGAAAAGAGGAGCACAGGCTCCTCCTTGGGCAGGGAGGGCACGATGGAGCAGGAAGTGCTGAGGCCTTACAAGCAGAGACCTGGGTTTCTAGTGCCACTCTGGGCCTCAGTCAATTCATGTATAAAATGAAGGGGTTAGAGGACACAATCTCTAAGGGTCCTCCAAATGCTGACAGTTAAAACTTCTAAGAAAGCTTTAAACAAACTCCCTGGGAGATAATAAAGGAGCTCTGGTGGTGTCGTGGTTAAGGCATTGGGCTGCTAAAGAAAAGGTTCAAACCCATGAGCCACTCCACAGGAGAATGACAAGACAGTCTGCTTTCGTAAAGACTTACAGCCTTGAAAATCCTATAGGGGTCACTATGAGTTGGAATCGACTCAATGGCAGTGGGTTTGGGTTTGGGAGATAATATGATGAGGGCTAAAGTGGAGAGTGAGTTCTTGGACTGAGGGAACCAGGCTAGCCACCTAAGTGGGATGTTCCACAGTCTTTCAGACTCTCCTTGGCTTGCTCCCTTCCCTTTGGGCCCATCATGCTCCCACCATGCAAGCCACTTCTGGTGGAAGGCATGGAAGGCTCCAGTAGAGCGTGGGAGAAAGTTCTGCTCTCCCTAATGGCTGTGTCTCCAAGAAGCTGCTGTCCTGGGCAGACGCCACAAGGAAAGGCCTCACAGGAGATCACTTTGTATTGTGGGGGACAGGAGACACCAGACCATAAACAAGCCCAGGTGAGGCCCCAGAGCTACCTCAAAATAACTTTCTAGCCAATAGTTGTCCCGTAGTTGGTGCTAGGTAGCTCCTTGTCACTGCCGGGTTGGGAGAAGGAATGTCAGAGAGGGGGCTCAGCATGGGGGAGGGGTCCTAAGTCAGAGACAGGTCTCTCCCTACACAAGATCTAGGGGCCTAGGCACAATCCTGGAGAGAGAGGGAGAACAATGTGAAACAAAACTCAAAATCATTAAAAAAAAAAAAAAAAGACCAGGTTTCCTGGTCTGATAGAGCCTGTTGAAACCCCTGAGACTATGACCCCTAGCTGCCCTTCAGGTCTGGAACTGAACTCACTCCTGTGGCTTCCAGCCAAACACTAGACAGGCATATGGGGTGAACATTTACATCAGGTAGATACACTCCTTAGAGTGATGATCAATCGTGGGAGAACAGAAGGGCCGTATTTGTACCGGGAGGTAGCTCAGGGAGCAGGAATATATAGGAAAGAAGGACACAGGGAAGAAGTAACTACGGGGAGGAAGTGGGAAGAGAGCTGTCACATCACGGGAAATTGCAGTCAATGTCATGAAACAAAATGTGTATGCATGGAAAATGAATTTGCTTCGTAAATTTTCACCCACATCACAATAAAAATTATTTAAAAAAAAAAAAAAAAACTAAGGACCTAAGCACTGTGAGAGAGACCGAGAGAGGGATGGAAAGAGGGGGAAGGAGGGAGGAAAAGGAGAGAAGTAGAGGACTCAAGGCAACCGGTGGGCAGGAAACGAGTAGCCTGTTCTGGGGCCCAGAACAACCCTCCCAGAATCCAGGCTTCTCCTGGATGCCCAGGCCCCTCCTCAAATCTGCTACAGCTACTGTGTCCCCTTCTCTGTGGCCAGAGGCCCCACCCACTAGCAGCAGCTGTGGCCCTGAGGACAAAGCCATCAGTCTGGATTCTCATTAGACCTTGGATAGCGGCATCCTAGCAAGAGGTTACACCTGGCTATGTGACCTTAGACAAGTCACTTTCCCTTTCTGGGCCCATATGTCCAATGACAGCAATAGGCCAGGTCTAGAAGAGCCATTCTAGCTCTGACATTCAGTGACTTGAGTTACATCAGGCCTTCCCCCGTCATGTGCCCTGATAATGCACAGTTGGGGAAAGAGGGGTATCAACCATCCTCCATCCCTTTCTGCCCCCAGAGTCCCGACTCCATAGCTCCATGGCTGCCTGTATGCTCCTCCTGGGCATCCTCCTCCTGCTGCTGCCCGCACTCATTCCAGCCCCCTGCTACACTGCCACGCGCTCCGAGTGCCGGCGAGTCCACCGTTTTGTGCCTGGTGTGGAGCTGGCTGGGGAAGGTGTAGACGTGACCACTCTCCGGCGCTCAGGCTACTTCCCAGTGGACAAGCAACACTTCCTGAGGCCTGACGGCACCTGCACCCTCTGCCGCAGCACCCTGCATCAGGGCCCCCCCTGGCTTCTGCCCCTAGCATTCACCGACTGGCACTCCCAGGGCTCTGGCTGCCAGCGCCAGGTGATCAAGAGCAATGCCCTCTCCACAGAAGCTGTGGCCAGGGAAATGGCCAAGAGCATTACCAATGACTGGAAGGTTGGGCTGGATGTGACCCCCACGCCTGAAAGTGATGTAAAGGTGGCAATAGCCGGCTCACATTCCCAAGCGGCCAACTTCGCAGCAGGGAAGACACACCAAGACCAATACAGCTTCAGCAGGGACTTGGTGGAGTGTCGCTTCTACAGGTGAGTGGCCCATATACAGAGTGGGAGGGGGCTGGAGAAAAGAGTGGGAAGGGTAACATCGGGTGACCTGGAATGGCAGAGTGGGGTCCCTAAGAGGAAATAGAAATCCTGGTCCCCTGCATTAGGTGCTACAGTGTCCTGTGAGCTCCTCCCATTACAAGGGCTAGAGCCTGGCAGTGACAGTGCCAGGAAGAGAGGAAGTAGAGGGGAAACGAACAAGACTGTGGCAAGAGCATGACATCATACCGTGGAGGTCTAGCGAGGGCCCAAATCCTCCTGGCACTGTCATCCTTTCATGGGGCTCCTCCTCCATGATGGGCTGGCAGGATGGACTGTCCTCACTCCCTGCTGTGTGACCTTTGGCATCTCACTCCTCCTCTTTGGGCTTCACTCCTCCATATACCACCTTTTGTTTATCCAGTCATCTGTTGATGGACATTTGGGCTATTTCCACCTTCTCACTGTTATGAATAATGCTGCAATGAAGTATTATTGTTTTCACAATAAGGAAATAAAAACTTTATGTTGAAAGGAAAAGAGGGGAGAAAAAAAAAAAAAACATATACAAAGTGTCTGGGTCACTGAGGAACGACAGAATAAGGTTTTCCTGTTAGCTCAGTGGGTTAGAGCTTGGGCTTTGGAGCCAGATCACCTAGGTTCAACCCTAGTTCTCCACTTACCTGTGTCTTTGGGCAATTCTGAGGGAGCTATTAAGTGGAGACAGAACTACCCATACTGGTCCCATCTGATGTTTCTCTCTCTCTGGTCATAGCTTTCACCTGGTACATACTCCCCCACTACAGCCGGATTTCAAGCGAGCCCTCAAGGCCCTGCCCCCTCACTTCAATACCTCCACTGAGCCTGACTACCTCAGGCTCATCTCCAACTATGGCACCCATTTCATCCGTGCTGTGGAGCTGGGGGGCCGGGTCTCAGCCATCACTGCCCTGCGTACCTGCCAGCTGGCCCTGGAAGGGCTCAAGGCCAATGACGTGAGTGACTGCCTGGCCATCGAGGCCGCAATCAGAATAGGAGGCAAAGCAAGCTCCTCGGCGGAAGCCAAGGCCTGTGAAGAGAAGAAACGGCAGCACAAGATGACAGTCTCCTTCCACCAGACCTACAGGGAACGCTATTCAGAAGTGGTTGGGGGCCACCACACCTCTATTCACGACCTGCTGTTCGGGAATCAGATGGGGCCTGAGCAGTTCTCCACCTGGGTGGCCTCGCTGCAAAACAAGCCTGGCCTGGTGCACTACACCCTGGAGCCTCTTCATGTGCTCCTGCGGGGCCGGGACCCACGACGGGAGGCGCTGAGGCGGGCCGTGAGCAAGTACGTGATGGACAGGGCGCGGTGGAAAAACTGTAGCCGGCCCTGTCCACCGGGACAGTGGAAGAACCCCCGTGACCCGTGCCAGTGTGTGTGCCATGACTCAGCAGTCACCAACCAGGACTGCTGTCCCCGGCAGAGGGGTCTGGCCCGGCTGGTGGTTATAAACTTCCAGGCAACAGGTTTGTGGGGAGACTTTATCACTGCCACAGACGCCTACCTCAAGGTTTTCTTTGGTGGCCGGGAGCAGAGGACAAGCACCATTTGGAACAACAACAACCCCAGGTGGATGATCCAGCTGGATTTTGGGGATGTGCTTCTCACCACAGGGGGACCACTGAGGGTGCAGGTCTGGGATGCAGATTCGGGCTGGGATGATGACCTTCTTGGCACCTGTGACAGGTCTGTATACTCTGGCACGCACAAAGTGGAATGTAGCCTGTCCCATGGTCAACTGAAATTCCACTATTTTGCCAAGTGCTTGCCCCACCTGGCAGGGAATATGTGCCTGGAGTATGCCCCACAAGGGCTTCTGGGAGAGCCTCCAGGAAACCGGAGTGGGGCAGTGTGGTGAACATAGCAGACCCACAGAGGACCATATGCCCAGATTGAAGGGGCTGTCACAGGAGGACTCAGGGTCTGTACTCATATCCCTAGTAGACAGATAGAAAACTGAGGCGCGGGGATATTTTTTAATAATTGATGTGGCTAAATTGGCAGGCCAGCCCTAAGTCTCCCTGTCCAAACTGTCTTAGTTCTCTGGTATTCTCCAGCCCTGGAAGTGAGCTGGGGCTGGGCCACACCCTGAAATCTCTGCTACACGGGCCACGGCTTAGGCCCAGAGCTGGGCAGAAGGCCAGGTGGCCATCCCCACCAGACCGCTCCATGGTTTTCTGTTAAGACCCTTCCCTTGCAGTTTTTTCAGTGTCACAACTGTTTTATTGGATCTGATCGAACCCTTTCCACCCCAGCTGCTGTGCTCTCTGTCTTCTGGGCCCAGGATGCTTTACCTCACAGACAAATTAGGGGCTGGCTTAACCTGTCTCACTATGTGCACATCCTTACCAAGTGCCAATAAATATGATGTGATGGTAACTGTAGTGGTGGTGGTTGTGGTAGCAGAAATGGGAATAGGGACCAAACACAGCCCTAGAGATAAACTTCTATACTAGCAACCATAAAATGGGACGAGTGGTTTACCCCATGGACAGGCAGGCAATGTAAATAAATTGGTGACCCAGTTTTGATGGGAATCCAAAATACTTTCCTTTCCTTATAATGCTATTTGGACTAGTCCCTGAAGAAGGATATCACGCTTAGTAAAGTGGAGGGTCAGTGGAAAGACCCACTCATGAGATGGACTGACACAGCAGCTGCAACAATGGGCTGAAACATAGCAAGGATTGTGAGGATGGTTAGGACAGGGCAATGTTTCATTCTTTTGTGCATAGAGTCCTTATGAATCAGAACACACCTGACAGCACCTAACAACAACACAACACTCTTAGAAATAGCAGCATAAACTTGGTGATGGATGGCAATGGAGATGCAGCTCCCAGCCGGGAGATACTAAGGAATGGTGAGGACTGTGGTGAATCAAAGAGACCAGGTCTTATCTCGAGGGGGTAGCTGCAGCTCTGTGCCAGCCATGGAGGAATCTGAGCCCTGTTTTGCCAGATTTTTGAATTTTAAAAAAGAACTAGAAATCTCAGATTTTTATGAGACATTTCCTCATTTCTAACTGTTGGCAATCTCACTTTGTGAAAAATAAACCCATGTGGGCAGACATGGCACAAGCCAAAGAGAACATGAATGTAGGCCACAGTTGATCCAGGCTGTCAATTTGAAAACTAATTTTGACAGAACTCATGTGAATACACTGCAAAGCTCTTCCCTGTCTCACAATATACAGAGTTCCAACAAAGTGGTCTCTGGGGAACTCCTGGCCTTGGCACATGGCAACCCCCAGAGCTTCCAGTTCTTACATAAAATAAAAGGTCTTTGTTTTATGTGCACAGGCCCACTGGGTGGGTGGCAAAATTCAGGGCAGCATGCCAGACATGGTGGGACTTGGCTGTGTAAGGCCATTGTCAGAGAGACTCAGAGGAACTGGCACAGCCCCTCCCAAGGTCCTGTGGAACTCTCCTCAGATCACAGATAAAGCCCAAAAGTTCTTTGAGGTTTTTTTGGACCAGAAGCCAAGCAACAGCATTATACTGAACCTAAATCCCCAAGTGGGACAGGAGGGCTTGCTGGGATCTGAAAGCCTGGTTAGAGTGCTCAGCTCCTCATCAAAAGGTTGCAGGTTGGAGTCCACCCAGAGGCACCTTTGAAGAAAGACCTGGTGATCTACTTCCAAAAAGTCAGCCATTGAAAACCCTATGGAGCACAGTCTTATTCGAACACACAGGGGTCATCATGAGTCAAAGTCAATGTGATAGCAACTGGCTAAAAGCCTAGTTGGAAACCACTGTTCTTATACATTTTTGTTCACAGCCACAAACTAGAGTGGAGAGAAATTGTGAAACTTCTTGATGGCTGTTGTGCTAATTGAATATAAACATGAGTGTGGCTGATACCCCTTGGGGAAAGCAGAGATGAAGAGCCTTGTTCGATAGCCATTTGGTGCTGCTCCCCGGGTGTCAGTTTCCCCAGAAGGACAGTCTTTTTTACTCCCCTCTCAGAATTGTTCTGAACCTCTCTGAGCCTTTCTAGAGGAGCTCTGGTGGTGTAGTGCCTTAGGCACTTGATTGCTAACCAGAAGTCTGGCAGTTCAAACCCACCAGCCACTCCTCGGAAGGAAGACGGGGCAATTTACTTCCGTAGTGATACCGCCTCGGAAACCCAAGGAGGGGTCACTATGAGTCTGATCCGACTCGATGGCAGAGTTTAGTTTTTGTTTTTTTGGAGCCTTTCTAGTGTTGGGGCCGTGTTCAGAAAGGAATGTTGCCACGAGGAAGCCACCACAGACACGATAATGTAAAAACAAAAGGAAAGTTTATTTGCTAGCTCGAGCTAGGGTCCCTGCTCTCACCGACGCAGAGTCTTGGGCAAAAGACCCCGTGCTCTTTTACTATCGCATTTTTATAGGAAAAATATAGGGTGGAGTAGCACCAGGGCAAAGGGGTACAGATGATTGGTTGTTGCTAAGGGGTTTAGGGCAGGGGTGTGAGATGTTGGGGGGCGTGTTGGAATCCCCCCGGCTCCAAAGTCTAGTTAGGGAATTATTATCTAGGGAGGATGTAAAACCCTGATGCATGGGAGACTTGCAGGAGCCAGGTAAATCTCTGATACGTGCAGAATCTGGGGGGTCTGATACATGCCGGAATCCGGAGGGGGTCTGATAAAAGCCCTGAGGCATGGGGCGTGTTAGAATCTCTGACACTAAAGGCTTCTGGTTAAAGATTTACTTGGAGGCCATTAGGACTTAGGCCTCACACTAGAAGGCTCACTTCTTCTCCTGAAAGGCCATCTGGTTAACTCTCCTGATCTTATATATAGTGAAACTGAGGTCCAGAAAAAGGAAGGGATTTAACTATGGTTACAGAAGAAGTTAGTGGCATAAAGGACAATGTCTCTCTAAGTCCTGGGCATTCCCACTCACCACACCTTTAGAGAAGTAAACTTGACTCCAAAAGGAAGGCTCTTGAAAACAAAAGAAATGGTATGAGTGGGGAGAAGGAATGACCAATTGTTGTTGAGGTACAGCAGCTGTGGAGTCCTCAGCCCCAACTCAAGACCCAACAAGACATTTTCATGTCTATGCCATGTAAACACTGGACCTTTTCACACATCCGGGCCTCCTTTGTTCAGGAAATTCCCCACTGTGCTAGGTATCTTCCATTTGCTCACCAGGCCCTGTCCCCACCCTTCTCTAGCCAGTATGAGCTCCTCTGGGCTCCCAGCCCTGAGGCTGGGCCAGCAAATGGGGAATGCTGGGAGGAGATTTGAGAGAGAAAGAGAGGGTGGGGAGAGCAAGAAAATTGGCCATTTACTGCTCTCAGTGGGGAGGCCTTGGATGGCTGGGGCCAGGCTTTGAAGGTCACTGGTAGCGTAGTGCCTAAAGGCACTTGACTGCTAACCGGAAGGCTGGCGGTTCAAGCCCACCAGCCACTCATCGGAAGGAAGATGGGGCAATCTACTTCCATAATGATACTGCCTCGGAAACCCAAGGAGGGGTCGCTATGAGTTGGGTCTGACTCGACGGCATATAACAACAACAACAGCCCTCTCCAGGAGTCCTCTGCTGGGCTCTCTTTCTTGATTTCAGTAACTGCTCTCTCCCCTCATCCCTTCAGACCTAGGGATGGTAACATCCCCACAGTATCCTGAGTGACTGCACTACCCTTTGCATTTCTCATACATTTGTTAAATGTCCCTTTTTTGAATAAAATGCTTCTCAAGTTTTACAATTTGAATATACCATCTGCTTCCTGTTGAAACAGCACACCACCTTGCAAGTACTGGTGGGAAGTAAAGTCCATTTCTCCCCAGAAGCTGAACATGCTGAATTCTTGCTTACCAACCTCCTGGTATCTAGAAAAGGACATGTGGCCTGGTGGCCAATCAGGTGTATGTATCTACCCCAGCTACAAGGTCCCTTTGGAAGTAGATCCTGAGACAAGGATTGGAGTAGAAGTTATATATATATAAGGAGGTTCCAGGATCCACCCTAAGTGAGGGGGGAAGCGATCCAGGGAAGGTGCAATATCAAGCAAATGGAGCTGAATCTCACCAGAGGACTGTGCTAGGGGAAAAGACCTTAGGCTCAAAAATATTTTATAGACACTCTTTTATGAAGCCTTAAGTAGGACAGAGACAAAAATAAAGACAATATTCAAATGAGGGAAATCATCAGCATGTGCCCAGTACAGAAACCAATAGAATCCACTGAATTACAGCAATGGTGCTCATTATATACTGTAGAGAACAAAGGAAATCATCACAAGATCATGAGTGGTGACAGATCAACCCATCACTGTCACCGGTGGGATACAGAAGTAGGAAAGGACCATGATTAGGATATGTGCATACTTGAAGGTTACAAAAAGAGTCCTGGATTGCCTATTCTCTGTACATCATTAAGAACATGCCCAGGCAAGTCCCCTAGTTCTTCGTGCATACTAGTTAATCTACTTTCAACCACATTCTTCCTGAGGGCAAATGGCCCAGACTGTCTAACCATAGTCACACTGCTGGTTTAATGGTCAGCAAACATTGGGGAAGTAACATAACGAACTCAAATGGCATTTGAATTTATGCCAAGACTCAAAATGAAGTGAGGGTTCCAGCTGTGGAACCAAAAGCTTTTAGATTTTAGGCTCTAATATTGAACTCAGAGAGTCAATGAAGAACACATACATCAGGGTTATCCCACTTGAGGGTCTAGGGAGCAGGGGTGTTGAGACACCAACTCCTATCAGTCAGTGGTTAAGGGCTTTTGGAGGCAGGTCTACAAAGGGCAGGCAGAGTGGACTCCAGTGGCCAGAGGATGCCCTCAAGCAAAGAGAGGCTGAGACTGACAGTTAAGTCCAGGACATACACTGAAATGATATTGTTCAAGGAGTTGCAAGT